CCCAGCCCCAGCTATTTCCACTGTACCCATATTTATCCAAGGAGCATGGAAAACATCCAGGAACGTTAAGGAGTCTCTGGGGTTGGTATTTAAAAAGGAGATGTTGGGGCATTTAGATGAAGAATGCTAAATTTTGTATGAACATCTAGGGAATGTCAGAAGTAATTTCTCACTTTCAAATCTTACATTTATTGAATTTTTACTGTGCATAAAGGTATACAGCAGATTTCTTTCTGCATAAGATACATGTGACTAAATGATTTTAATTCAACCCTGAAAATAATAATGAGGACATTTGTGAACAAACAAACAAGCAAACCCTCTCCTCTGAAATCCACAATTCCTAACTGGTTAGGGGTTCAACCTAACCAATTCCAGTATGCTTTTCTTCCCAAATTTCCATTTTTATTTTACAACTGAAATCCAGTTTTCTGAGGTACTGAGCATACTCACAGGTTGGTTGTTTTAATGGAGTTGGTAATACATTAAAAATATACAGTAGCACTTTTATTTTCTTTAGTAAGTTGAATTTAAATGTTGGGAATCCTCTGAGAGTTTTTATCATTCTTCAGTATCCCCAATTTGCTTCATAACTGCTGGTGCTCAGAACCTGAGTTTGGTTTTAGAGGCTGAAATAAAGTGCATATTTTCTCAGATTAATTTCCAGGCTGTGTATAACATTACATAAGAGGTATCCCAAAATGCTTTAATTAAAACTCACTAAAACACACAGTACAACAAGAAATGACTGCAGTGACCTCTGAATACAACTAGGTGTCAAAAGCCTGTTTAAAAAGATATGTTTTTACCATCTTGAATGCCAGAAATGAGAGGCCAGGTATACTTCTGGAGGTAGCGTATTCCATCGTATGAGGGAGGCACCAAGAAGCCCTACCTTCTGGCCCATGCTAGTTTCATCTCCATCCAAGATGAGCCATTCAACAGATCCTATCTGGATGTCCTCAGGGGATGGACAGATTCTTACTGGGTAGGGTGGTTTCTGCATCTCTGGTGTACAGGGATTTAAAGAGTTTTGTGCTGGATCTGGAAGCTTAACCCATGCAGCAACTGCAAAGTAGGTGTTATTTTGATGTTGTGGGTTTCCCCTACCAGCAGTCAGGCCACTGCATTTTGTACCAGCTGTAGCATCCTGAAAGGCAGCTTCATGTAGAACACATTGCAGTAGCCTATCTATGTAGTGATAAGGACACTATAACTATCATCAAGGTTTAATGCCCCAGGTAGGGCTGTAACTGGGCATTGCTGCCCTGGCTCTTGCTTCCACTTGTATTCCAGCAGGAGCCACGAGTCCAGAAGGACCCTCAAGCAATGTATCAACTCTTGATTCCCTTCAAGAGTAGCTATTGGAACCATTGTACAATATCTACACATTCTAGATATCTCCAGATGACCCACAACTCTATTTTGCTAGGATTTAGTCTTTGTTCTCCCCATCCACCTCCTCACAGCATCTAGGCATAGGTTCAAGACTTTCCCACAATCTCTGGCTTGGCTTGGGGTGGAAATGTATAATCAACTATCATCATATATTGATGATAGACCCAGACCTGTGGATGTCTTCTCCCAATGCTTTCATATAGATATTAAATAAGATGGGAGAGAGAACCAAATCTTGTGGAACCCCACAGTGGAGCAACCAAGGGCTTGATTGCTCTCATGGTTTGTTTAGCTTCAGCTGTTGGCAAGAGGAACCAAGCAGGAACACTTCATCAACCTTTATCAGCAGGCTACTTGCTCATGTTAAACCAGGTTTCTTAGAAATTCCTGCTACTTCATTGTGTAACCTGTCCAGGGAAATGCCACATTTGTTCATTCAAAAGGATCTGATATGTAAGCAATGTGTACAGTGAGCAGAACAGCATTACCTTTCATTTCCTTATACCATTCTTTGTCGTGTGCTGACTGGAAGTCGTTTACTTTTATGAATAAAAGCTTTTATAGTTAGGGTACACAATGGCTTCATCTATTTTACTGTATTCTGATGACAGCATAATAAAAGTGTCAGGAATATAAAAGTTCTTTGGTTCAAAAAAAAATTGATTTATATCTGGAGTATATACCTGAAACCTCAGTAAAAGGCAAAGCAGTAACATACAGTAGCTGAAAGATGGCATAGAAATTCACTCTTCATTAACATGGTGCTTTCTAGATACACAGTGGTACCTCGATTCACGAACTTAATTTGTTCCACGACTCTGGTCGCGAACCGAATCAAATTTTCCCATAAGGTTCGATGTAAATACGGTTAATCCGTTCTGACCCCTACGAATGTGGTC